AATTTTTTTTGTAAGTATATACCAAATTAGATGCTTGAGATATACTAATACAAATATAGTGTCGATTACACCAAAATTCAAGAGCGAGAATAGATATATGTCTTGAACCATTGTTCTCATCAAAGAATGACAACCTTTCTCTATCATCTCTCCCAACCCGTTTTCTACATCCAAACCAAAACTTATTTTCCAAATATGATTTTATTTTTTCTTCTTAGTCTATCATATTTCTATAATTTCCCACATTGATGAATGATGAGTTCAAGGTTATGAGGTTTTGAACTATAATTATTTTTTTTTTTGAAGTTTTGTGCATAAGTTTAATGGAAAAGAGAACAATTTTATGATTTGTTTTTTTAAAAAAAAAAATTGAGTGAAAAAAATACTCAAAAATTTTAAGAGAACAAACTATATATAACAATTATAAATGTTTTACGTTTTTACGGTAAATGTTAACGTTAAAATATTAAAATTTAATTATTATGTTAATTATGAGTAAAATTACTTTTACATAAAATTTATTTTTATATCATAAAAAAGGTCATGTACGGTAAATAATTTTTCGCATCATAATTTAGAATAATAAACTAAAAACTTAACACAGGAAGACAAGTTATCATCAAGCTTTTAAAGCTTTTAGACAACAAAATTATAGTGTCTTGGCAGCTTGAAAGAGGTTATTTGTCAAGCTTTTTTAATAATTTAATTTTGGCAAATGGATTATTTACACGATTAAAGAAGAAGAATGCACATTATAAGAATCTAAACAAGATATGTGTTAGTAACTTCTCGATGTTTCCTTTTTAGGCCAGAATAGGAAATCGGTCAGATTTTTATCTAGCCACCGTGCAAGGATAAGGTTTCCTTTTTCTATTTTCAACCCCAATTTTTAATACGGTGAAAACGACACGTGGAACTATGGAGAGAGCGTGGAATGTCCGCGCAACGCGACGCGTATAATAGGCCATATTCCCTTCCCCGCACACCCAACCCTCCGTATCTTCGCCGGCCGTTGAGCTCTTCCACATCGGCGAGAATTGTGAGAAAGCAAAAATAAGGACGATAAACAACAGCGTGATTCGATTCTTCATCGTAGTAAGAAAGAAGAGATAAATAACAAAACTGGCAAAGAGAAATTTTGTTTTTGGTGTTGAAGAGACAATATAACTGTTGAAAAATCTCGTTGACGGCGGGATGGGGCGCAGCGATGTGGAGGTTATCTCGGCGGAGATGGTGATGGCCTACAATCTGAAAGAGGCCTCCAATTGGTGGGAAGACATTAACAAGTCGCCTGTTTGGCAGGATCGCACCTTCAATGTCCTCGCCGGTCTTTACGGTCTGGTCGCGGCTGTCGCTCTGGTACGCTCTCGTCGTACGTATATGTGTGTTTCTCATTGTGCGATTTGTCGAATTATCGCAAGTGGATCGTGCATGGATTTCTCCCTCAATTTGCTTTCAATGATTGCTTCACTATTGGTGCATACGCGTACGGGCTGTGTACATATGTAGTTGTGTTGGATGTTACTTGAATTTGAAATTAACTATTGGTGACGTTTTCTAGGGTTTCCAGCTGAAGATTGGGATTTATGTTTTTTGGTTTCAAAATCTTGTTTAGATTTAAGCGAGGTGAATAGGATAAGCACGATAAGAATGTTTTAGTTCTTTTTTTAAATGTGATTTGAGTTCAATTGTCTTTCAAAGCACGGTACGTCCATAGCGGGAATGTCTGTTTTAAATGTAGTTTAGAAATGGAAATTTGTTTTAATAGTTACGATTTATATTTGGTTGTTAGGTTCAACTGGTACGGATACAATTGAGGGTTCCGGAGTATGGTTGGACCACGCAGAAGGTTTTCCATTTTCTCAATTTCCTGGTGAATGGGGGTCCGTCTCTTGGAATTGGATTTTAATTTTCCCTTAATATTCTCGTGGGTTTTTATTTTCTCTGCATTGCATTAATCATGTATTTTCTACTTTGCAGTTCGAGCTATAGTTTTTGTTTTCCGCCGGAATATACAACACTTGCATCCAGAGGTTTGTGTTGACTTTTGAATGCTTCTTTCAGCTTGTTGCCCTGGGAATTTCTTCTTACTCATGGCTTTAAATTGGTTATCTGTTAGATTGTGCAACATATCCTGCTGGATTTGCCAAGTCTTGCTTTCTTCACAACATATGCGCTTTTGGTTCTCTTTTGGGCTGAAATTTACTATCAGGTTTTGTTGATACAGGGCATATTTGCTTTTCTATTTATGGTTTATCTGCCTAAATTATAACTCCAATCGATGAATGAAACAGGCACGCGCTGTATCTACTGATGGACTGAGGCCAAGTTTCTTTACAATTAATGCAGTTGTGTATGCACTTCAGGTGAAGTTCTCCTGTCCATCCTTTTACTACAATTCCTTGCCAAAGGGAGGATTTGAAGTTGAATTCCTTCTATATGGAAGCTGTGTCGGATTTCTTAGAAACTGATAAAGCCATCTATGGCCCTCAAGCTTCTTTTCCTATTTTACGTAGTATTGTCAAATTTCTATTAAGAGGTAGGGTGGAGTGCATCTTAAGCAAATTTTCGTTAGTGGATAAAGGACAGAATCAATTGTTTAATAAAGTTAGTCAGTGGCTTTGTGTACAGTGTAGTCCTGAAAATCTGAACTAACTCTTTTATTATGTATATATATTCGTTATGAATAAGGTAAAAAATTATGTCCTGCACATTAGAAATTTTCATCCTTGGTGGAAATGGAGTTGCTAAGTATTATTTGAGGATGTAAATCAGTGCAATGAGAATTAAATAAATTGTGATTATGGTTGATCGGATTTCTTTCAACCCTATTGAGTTTTCTCATTCTTTTGCAGTTTTTTGTCCTAGGTGGGGTGGAGTTTTGGGGGGTGAGAAGGGCATGATTGATCAATTGACTCTATGTGGGCTCCAGTCAGTTAATAACTTGAGTTTGATATTTTGAAAGCTAGTGGTTTCTATCCAAAAAATAATTGGGTTAATGGTTTCTAGGCTTTGGACAAATGTGATAGTCTAGGAACTTTGTAATGATATAATTTTGGAATTTGTGGGGTTTTTTGTTGTGATGGTCATATTAGCGAGAACATTAAGGATTTGGATGTGGAGATTGTAATAATCTTATCCTATATAAAAAAGATACGTGATTGATGAGTAATCCTAAGGGTATAAGTCATTCCAGTAACTTGATTTAAAGCTCTTATACTCCCGGGATTTGGTTTTGAAAAGTTTGTGGACCGATAATGCTTGGGTTCGAAGCATTACAGGGTGTTGAAGGACATTTATCTGCATCAATTAGCTTCTGTAATACAAGGTTCGGGTCCTTCTCATGATTGTCCTAGTGAGAGAGTTTTCTTTGTTTCACTGCAATATTAAGCTATTTCACAAAGTCTTAGTTGTGGTATTTCTTGGAGTCATGTGCATGCATGCATGCACAGTCCAGGAGTTTTCCTTGTAAAACCCTAGATTGTGTTAGGAGCTTCAAGCATGAACTTCTCTGTGACTTGTGTGAATCAATGGGAGAGAGAACTAAGAAGCTTTTTGAGAGATGAAGAGAAGAAGGGAGAATTTAGAAAGGATTCTAGAGACTGCTGATTGATTCAGAAATTCTGGTAGGCAAATTATAGCATGATACCCTTTGGTACATCCTTCCTATTTTAACCAGTACAAGCAGAAAATCCAAAATAGCAAAAGAATGGCAGAAAACAGAAATTTCTGACAGCCCTACCTACGGATGTTTAGCTAACCAGCTGACTCATTCCTGAAAATTATTCCATATCCTAAATACTCCTGATGTGGCCGCCAGCTTATTATGCAGCTTGTGGCTTCGTTCTTTTCTGGTAATAAACCTACAAATGTTTCCCTCATTTTTCTGCTGAAGTCTTAACAAATAGCTGCTCCACCACTTCTGTTTATGAAGTTGGTGCAACTTATTTTTGGCTCAGGATGCTGCAGGGTTTATGCTGGATATTGATTTTAAAAAACTGGAATTCAATTATCTGCGTCATTGAATTATTTATTAGTATAGTGCATATGTTATTAAATGTTTTAAGTAGACAATTCTTCCATTTGGTCAAATTGGTTCCAGATTGCTATGTGGTTAATATTATGGTGGAAGCCTATCCCAGTTGTGGCCACCCTATCTAAGATGTTCTTTGCAGGTATATTTTGCTTATGTGTTATGTGTTTTGTATCTAATAGATAGTAATTAGTTGCTTGGCTTTGTCATGACCAGTGGCACTTAGTTTTAACGCGACTTTCACATGTGTATTGGCAGGTGTTTCTTTGTTTGCAGCTCTTGGGTTTTTACTTTATGGTGGAAGGTAAGATTTCAGCTTACTGTTTCCCAGGTTTGATTTGACTATGAATTTCTCCAAAAGTTAGGTTGTGGCATTCTGAATGTGCTAAAAATAGTTGATTATGTATTTTATTGAATGTCACAGCCCTATATATATAGGTTTTCTAGAATAAAAAAGAAAATAAACAATTAATTATATAGAGTATATTTTGCTCTAATATTCTTTAATCTAATTTACATAAGATACACTCTTTAGCACTCCATCTCAAGTTGGGGAATAGATATTGTTCATCTGTAATTTACCAGTGATAGTCTAGAATGTTGGATTGTTCAAGTATTTAGTTAACACATCTACTAGCTGTGAACTGGCAGACATGTATGGAGTACATATTAGACTATCATCAAGTCTCTATTTGATAAAGTATCTGTCGACCTCGATATACTTAGTCTGGTCATGTTGTATGAGATTGTATATGATATTTATAACTGACTTGTTGTCAAAGTATAGGTGCATAGAACTTTCTTACTTGATTCTCATGTCTTCAAAATTTTCTTTTTATCCATAGTAGTTTATGTACCTCTTAGACCATTACTCGAAATTCTGATTTTGATTTTGCACTCGATTTGGCAAATATATTTTGCTTGTTACTCCTCCATGTAATTAGGTTACTCCTAAGGATGGTACAGTAACCTTATATTTTCTATCTACCACTAGTCCTGCATAATATGCATTTGTATAGATTTATAGAAGCAACCTATCACTCTTCCTAAACAAGATTCATTTCTTTGCTGATCCCTTTAAGTAATGGAATACTTTATAGGTTGCTTGTAAGTGCACTTTTTTAGGGTTGTACATGAACTTACTTATATCATTTACTGTGTAGGCAATGTCTGGTCTTGTGCAAGACAGATATATTAGTCTCTCAACTAATCTCTTGTATATATCCTTATCTGCTAGTGTATTTATTTCTGCCACTCCCAATTTATGTTCAGGATCAACATGATTATTAGATGCCTTACATGCTAGTCTGTCAGTATCTTTTAATAACTTATTAATGTACTTCTATTGAGATATGAGGATCCTGGATTTTGAGTGGACAACTTTAATTTCCAAAGAAATACTTCAACTTATTTAACTCATTAATTTTGAATTCACTGTAAGACATTTGTCATTAATTTTTCTTTTGCATTATCTACTGTTACAATAATGTTATCAACACATACTAGGTAAGCTGTAAATCTCTCTGTCTTTGAGTGTTTGACAAACAGAGAGTGTGATCTCCTTGAGTTCACTTATCTCTCAGACGTATTATTACCTTTGCGAATCTGACAAACCATGCTCTTGACGATTGCCTGAATCTATAGAGTGCCTTTTTTTCAGTTTACATATTTTATTGGGTTCTATTTCTCTGGCAAACTTGGTGGAATTTTTATGTAAATTTATTCTTCCAAGTCTCTATCCATGAAGACATTCTTCACATTGATCCACACTGCGTTCATCTTGGTTATTGGTAGTCTATTCTATAAATGTGTATAGGCCTTTGCCTATAGTTTCTTGTATTTGATTGTGAACAACCACTTGAATCTCACATATTTTTTTCCTATGTTTGGTTCTTCTCTAATGCTTGCATTCCCACATTCGTAGCGTTTTTCCATTTTTTACAAGATAATGCATTAGGTGAACATACTCAATATTCAAATTTGTAAGGAAATTTTTATGGGACAATGAACACATATCAAATGACACAGACTATGGGATGTGATAAAGAAGACACATTTATGATAACTTTAAAAAATGTAATAGGTATATTATTATCATACTGTATAGGTTTTCTGGGAGTTACCTCAGTTTTAGAATCAATGTCGGATTTTTGGACCGACCTAGGCTCAGAACTTGGATTTCTTTCTCCTCATATACACCTGAATGAACCTAGAGTTAGCTGTGTTCTCTTGAATAAGTGAGTTCTCTAGTGGTTCTAAGGGTTTTCTTGTGATGGTGGTGTTGGAGTATGTGGCGAAGGCGATAGGATAAAATCAGTCAAAAATTTGTATCTTTTCTTCTTATATAAGTTTCCACTCAATGTAAGGTTGGATGAAATATGATTCTTGTTCAATAGAGGTGAATTCGTAGACACAAAATTTTTGTGTGGACGGATTGTTACATTTGTACCTCATTTGGAGATGAGTACTTTATAAACAAACATTTCAAGGGCATTGGGATCAAGTGAAACTCTTTGATGACAATGAATATGAACGAAAGTAATTCAACGAAATATCTGAGAAGATGGTTTGTGATACTTATTTCTGGATAAAACTTGGAGTTTTCTTTTGTTTTTTGAGATAAAAGAGAGGAAATTGTATTGAGTGTAGACACCTAGGGGGTGCCGCTTATGTACAAAAAATTTACAAGTCAATGAGTATATTTACAATAAAACGAAAATCAAGGCTAAGAAGGTTATGTCCTAGAATAATGGACCCAAAAAGTGAAACCATTTGTCCATGATGTTGCTAAAGCTTTCTTCTTTGCCTTCAAAAGCTCTTTTGTTTCTTTCTTTATAGAGGATGCAAAAGACAGTGAGAGGAATAAGTCGAAGTTTCTTGTTTCCTTTACACAGAAATTACCAAGCCTTCAATTCATCTTTTATAGAGCCGACAGTAACCCATTTAATACCAAGGAGCCCATAGACCACGGTCCATAAATTTTGAGTGAAAGGGCAGTGAAGTAGGAGATGAATGCAAGATTCTGCATTTTCTTTGCAAAAGAAGCATCTATTGGTTAAGGTTATACCTCTTTCCATAAGAATTTCGATGGTAAGGATCCGTTCTCTTGCTGCCTCCCAAGCAAAAAAGGAAATGCAACAGGGGGCGTTGGTCTTTCAAATCATTTTTGCCGAAAAATCAGAATTCCTCACCTCATTTTGGCCAGCCAAATGGTAATAGAATGTTTTGACCGAAAAATAGCTATTGTTACTGAGAGACCAGTGAAGCTTATCCTCTTTATTGGTGGGTTGAAACTCGGCAAGGAATGATAATAGATTTTCATATTCTTCAACCTCCCAGTCTTGCAAGTTCCTGTTAATTGCAATGTTCCATCCACTGCCATTTTCAACATCAAAAGCTTTTTCTACCAACATGTTCTTGTCTCTGGAGATTGCATAAATTAGGGGGAATCGGTTCTGGAGCTTGGATGGGCCACACCATCGGTCAGTCCCAAAAAAAATTTTACTGCCCCTGCCTGCAGCTCAAACCAAACAGTCGAAAAAGCTATTACTGATGTTTGTAATGCCTCTCCAAAGACTTTTGCCATAGGTGTTATGTCCCCCGTTGTGAAGCTTCTGCCTATCGCTTAAATTCCACTTGCAATCTATGACTTTTTTCCACAGATTATCACCCTCATTCCGAAATATCCATATCCATTTGCCTTGGAGAGCTTTGTTTATTGTGGTGAGGGATCTTAGATCCGGAGTCTCCACATTTTTGTGTCTTCTTCACATTATCTCATTTTACAAGGTGGGGTTTTCTCTTATTTTCTTCACTGCCCCAAAGAAATCTACATTGAATCTTCTCAAGTCTTTTAGCCAATATGACCGGGATGGTGAGACGGAAAGAAAATAAGTTGGAAGATTGGAAATGATGCTTTTAATCAGAGTTAATCTTCCACCCTTAGGAAGGAAGTTCCTTTTCCAACTTGCAAGCCTTTTCTCAAATAGATCAATGACCGGATCCCAACTTGATCCATCCTTATAATTTGCACCAAGGGGAACACCTAGATATTTGATAGGAAGTTGGGAAACTTTGCAGTTCAGCACACGGGCAAGAGAATCGGCTTCATTATTAGCCCCATACCGACTAATTCAGACTTTCCCATATTAATACAAAGCCCGGAGACAGCTTGATCCATCCTTATAATTTGCTTGGAAAGAGAGTAATGTACACCGTAGATTGAGGAAAGTGCTGACTTCAGGTTGGCAGAATAGTAGTGTAAAACTTGGAGAATGCTTCAAGAGGGTTTTTAAAGTCTAGAATGCTAGAAGATAAGCGGTTGATAATATAGGTGCTTGTAAGGACTGCTCCACTCAATATTGTTTTGGGATGTGATTTTGGAAGAGGAATTCTCTAAAGATGGTTAGCTGCTGGATTCATGGTGGCCGAGGATGTAGGCTGGCCTCTTTTAGGGTTTTCTTATTTAGAGAATGAAGGCTGAATATAATTTGTAAAATGTTTAGGGTTTTTAATCTAGAGTTCTTATACCATATTAAAAATGGTTGATTGTGTATTTTATTAACAATCAAGTCCTATATATACATGTTTTTTAGAATAGAAAATTAAACAGACAATTAATTATATAGGGTTTATTTTACCTTTATACCCTTTAATCTAATTTACATAAAATATACTATCAGTATGTTACATATTGTTACAGATGAATTCTGCATGGACGGAGGAACATAATATGTGCTCTTTCTTTTTGTGAAAGAAAATCTATATGCCACTAATTTTTTGTCTTTTCATCCGCTTTAAACTTGTAATTGCATAATTAGCTTAAAGAACCTATCTTTTTCTACATGCTTAATAGAAGCAAAATTAATATTTTTTCTTCAAACCACGATAATGATACTTCTTTCTCTTGCATACAACTTTTTGAAAAGTCTCAGCATATTAAGTTCAGCATATTACTAACCATGATTGGCGGTCTATGTTTAGAAGGTTTGTAGGATAGGAGCTAAATTTTTTTGGTATGTGTCCTAGTCGTGCATGGTTTGGCCTTTCTACAAGGTGGTATGTCTTCAAAGTTCTGAACTAGTAGTGACATTTATAGTCGGTGAAGTAGATATAGAAAAACTATAACTTGGCCTGGCTCAACCATATGCAAGATTGATGCTAGATGTTGGTCTGACACAACCTAAAATGTGCATGTGGAAATTTTGAAACCTTAAGATATGATATGCAAATTCAAACAGATTAGCAAAGTTTTTAGGATGTAAAGTAGTGAAACTACCAATTAAATACTCGGGCATGCCTTTGTGTGTTAATTACAAAGATGCGAGGATGTGGGATCCTGTTATTGCAAGATTTGAGAGGAGACTTGTAGAGTAGAAGAGGAATCTACTCTCCGAGGATAGATGCCTAACTCTCATAAGAAGCACACTGTCCAATCTTCCTATTTATTACATATCCCTTTTAACAATTGCAACGAATATTGTCAAGAAATTAGAAGCAATTCAATGTAGATTCCTTTCGGGTAGCTCGGTGGAAAGAAGGAAATACCACTTGGTAGCATTAGATGTGACTAAAAACTACTAAGTCAGAGGGGATTAGGTTTGAGATCTTTAGCTAGGATGAATCAAGTGCTTTAGGGGAAGTGGATATGATGCTTTATAAAAAAAAGAGGCATTATATGGAGGAAGGTTACAGAGGCGAAGTTTGGTACGATGGATAAAGTGTGCTACTCCAGAGTTTTGTCTAGACCACACTGTACGGGGCTGCAAAAAAATATCTATGTGGGAGAGGAAAATTTTTTCAAATGCATCAATTGGAGAATTGGAAATGGGGAGAGAATTGGATTTGGGTCGGATTTTGGCTTGAAGGAGGTGCATTGAGAGCCAGGTTCCCATGGTTTTTTGCAGTTGCGCAATATAAGGAGCTTTGTGTTAAAGAGTCATTTAGAGACGGTGGAGGATGTAGGGAGTGGCATGTGGAGGCAATGCGAAATCTCGATGACTGAGAAATAAACGAATATGAATCACTCTTGAATTTTTTGGTGTTGGTTTCACTGAAAGAGAATTATGACCAACCAATTTAGAACCTTAGTGCAATTGAGAACTTCACTGTTGGATCTTTCTACAGATATTTGACAAGAAAGAACATGTCGAGAATAATTTTCCTTTTAGGCGAATTTGGAGGGTGAATACCCTTCCTAGGGTAGCTTCTTTCGCTTGGGAAGCAGGTCGTGGGTGTATATTGACCATCAATAAGCTAATGAGGATTTGAAAGATCATGGTAAACTGATGTGCCCATTCGCATATAATTTATGGTCAATGGCATATGGGATTATGGGATTCAGTTGGGTTATGGCTGGAATTGTGATGGATGGCATGGAAGGGTATTACTGCCTGGAAAAAATATTTGGGGCTTATTTCCCTTAGAATTTTTTGGGTTATGTAGAAATAAAGAGCAGGAGAGTCTTTCATGGGGTGGAAGAGGATATTAATAAGATTCGAGACAAATGGTTCCAAACCTTAGGTTTTTTGGTTATGAGTCAACCATTGTATTCCATGAAGAATTTGGGAGAACTAACTGATATTTTTACTGATATATAAATAATTTTGTACATGGGTTTGCATCCCGTTGTGCTTGTATTTAATGATATATTTTATACTTTTTATTTTTTAAGAAAAAAAGATATGACATGCAAATTAAGATTTTTCTACTTAACCCACACGGGCTCTGTAAAGAATGGGGATTGATTGTCATGTAAGAGCATCGGTATCACTGACAAGGTCTGACATTTATTTCTAACTTTTGGGCATAGTGCATAAATTGAGTGATTTGCTAATCATGAGTTTGTGTTTTTCTGAAGTAGTTTTTCTAGAAGGTCAAAAGACCATTTGCAAAATGTGTATCTTCAGTTGAAGGTGGGGAATGTTTCTCATTTTCTTCCTTGGGATGATTGCCATGTGGGGGAGGCATCCTTAGCTTCTTGTTTTCCATCTTTGTAAACTCTCCGCTGGACATAGTTTTCCTATTTTGTCTTTATGAATCACCTTGATGGTCATGC